CCAACCCTTCTGGACACCCTGTGTACGGGTTAAATATGTCAGAATGAAATTCACCGAATCGGTTATAAATAACAGGTGGAGGGTAGCTACGAAAACAAGAGTGATCGAAGAGGAAAGGGGATGGCACGAGTCGCTGGGGTGGCGTAAAAGTTGACGTTAGTTTCGTTGGCAACAGAATTCGCTTTACAAGGACAAGCAGCTTAGCCAGCCCTTCTAACCGATATAATTCATCCAGTGCCTCTGTACTTCGTGCAACATGCCTCGACACACTTCACGTACTCCCTGGAAACAGGAGGAAGTACCCGCAACCCTTATTTATAGAATCACAGCTGTTAGTTGGATCCGGTGTCGTGGCTTTGCAGGAAAATGCTCTATTCCGCGCGCTGGCAACTCTCGCGTAATATCTATTATGTTAGACACCTCAGAATGCGAAACTTTTCAGGTCGTTCGAATGATTTACGACCCTTCGAGTATCGAAACATTTTTGGAACAGTCTCAATCCCTTGCCACTCAAGTATTTCAGTCCCACGTGTTTCGAACTTTCAACGGTTTAGAATATTCACCATTTCGTAATTCACTTTGTGCCTAGCTTTGACAGCCAGATACGTGGATAAATTTATCTCCATCTAAAAATAAACGACGTTCATTTAAAATTCAGATTTTGTTCTATTTTTTTTTAATTTACCACTTTGGAAATACAGATGAGAATAATATATCAAATACATCGAAATCTCTGGTGAAATGTAAAAAGGGATCGATGTCAAACGTTTTTGTTTATTTTAATATCGTATCGAATTTGCTTTTCACGAAAGACTGATATTTTTCAAAAATTTCTTTAGCTCCCCCAATTTGTAAAATCTACGAAGGTTCTTCGAAACTCTAGTTAAAGGAGTCAGCCATTCTGAAGTTCCGAAAGGGGCAAGAAAAATTCAGCCCTCGCGAGTTTTCGCGTCGCCTTGGAATATTTATCGAATCGTATGCTCGTTCTCGCATTCGTATGCGTATTTTTTTTTTCTCTCGCGGATCTCCCCAAAAATTCGCTATCTACGGGTACGGGGCCACCCTTAGCGAGGAAGTTACGCCGAATATGCGACCGCGAGGAGGAGCACCCTCGAATTCTTATTTTCTCCCTGCCATCCGACCGTTGGGATTCAGTGGTGGGTGTATGGTTCCGCGAATGTTGATACATCGCCAAGGATTTTGCATTTCGAAATCCCGGGATGAGAGGGCGGCGCTGAAAAAGTCTGCTCGAGGCTCGATTCACCGCGAAAATCATGAGAACGTAGTGGAAATATGTAATTTTACCGAAACCAGCTTACTCTCCAGCGCGAATTTATTATCTTATTTAGAGAATTTGAATTTCAATGATACCAGAAAGATCAGCCTCGAAATAAGATACTTGGACGAAACGATTTACCTTTTTACTTTTGTATAAAAGATTTGTTTAATTGCGTTTAGACATCATCGGTTACACTCGATTTACAGAATGATCACCGTTGATAGAAAGAATAATAGCTCTGGTAAATATTCATAGAAGAAAGTGTTAATTATTTTTAAACGAAACAGATTACGGAGCGGCGAGATTCAGCTTGATAGCTGTCCGCATATTTCTCGACAAATTGAATCCATGGTAAATTAACAGCGCGTGTAAATTGCAAATTCGTCTTACCGTGGCAGAAAGTAATTACTCTGAGAATTTTCTTGGCTGATCAACCATGCTTTTAATTACTGTACCGAGCTAGTTTACGCAGATAACCGATAACAACAGAAGCTCGGTTCGCAAAGCATCGCGATGGTGTTTAATTTACAACGAAATTATGCATGCGTTGAATTATACATTCTGAAACTATACTCTAAGTATGCCGCGTTAATAATAATCAAAATGTAATTCAAAGTGTATCAGAACCCAAGATAGCTCACCGACGAGGGTAAATATTATCGTTCGAAATTAAATCAAATCTTAGAGTAGCTATTTACAAAAGTTAACGCGTCTTCCAATAATCACCTAAATAATTGCATTCCAAATGCCCCTCCTCCCCTGCAAATGATGCGTGTTCCATCGACGGTATTCCGTGCGAATATTTTCAGGCTGAAAACGAGCTACTTTTTACCATTGTCCTTTCCAAATGAGATCGCAGTCCTCGAGGGAGTTTCGGGCAACGACCGGGAATGCTTTGGCCGAATTTCTTGCTCGACGGTGATAATAATCCGCGGCTAACTCGCGGCGAAGTAGAAATATGTATTTCATAATTCACGACGGTCGCGACAAAGGGAGAAAACAGGACGCGGAGGCGGGGGAGAAGGGGACGTGGATCGCAGGGAACAAATCGAATCCGGCGCAAATTAGCGCGAACGCTGGTACACGAATTCGTCTTGTTGTCACGAGAAATAATTGCCAGGAGAATTCCTATGGCCGGGGTTTGGACGGGAAAGGCGAACCTTCCCTCGGGGTTATAATGCCCGGGATGAAGCGCCCGAGGTTATTAGTTTAGGAAGCTGCAAAGTACCCCGAAACAAAGTCTCTCTGTCCCTCTATAGGGTAATCAATATACAAGCAGCGACCCTGCCTCCGTTTCAGCTCGTTGATTCAACCTGAACCGCCGGCGAAGATCCCTTCGTTGAATTAGTTGCTTGCAAAGCATCGCTGTCGGAGTCTCGACGTCAGAGAGCGATAGGTGATGACCCATCTTAACGTTCCCGCGGTCAGCCAACCGGCGTCCTTCTCCGTTTCGACGGCCGCGTTTCTAAATTAATTGATGATTTTCGGTCAACCCTCCCGGCCATACAAATAGAAAGTGCTACGGGGGACCAGAAATATGACGTACCGGTGATGATTCTTTAAACGAACGTCACTCCTTGGCGTGTTCATCTTTCGCTCATCTGAGACGAAATTCGACAACAGCAGATATTTATTTTCAATTTACCAATCATGTCTGGAGGTTATTTTAAGAATCGTTACTGTACTGTGAAGTAGCACTCTAAATAAATACTTGAGAAGGCGAATGTATGCATTAAAATATCTAATAAATTTCTTACTTACTGGTCGAGCTAGAGAAATCAAGATTAAAATTGCTACACGGTTTAAAAATCCGAAGAAATGAATAAAAGACAAATGTTTAGATTGTTATAGTAGAACGTTTGAATATCTGTTGGAGCAAGTGTAAAGTGTAAAATATTATGTTTTCGATCATTTACTTTTATTTATGTCGACAAAAATGGATAGTCTCATTTAAAAAATAAATAACAAATTATAAAAGAATAGTCCTAGTTTGTCCCAGATTGTGCAACCACTCTGTGCACTTAATTTTAATTTCATAGTTTTCGTTGAACATACTTGCAAAGAATGATAAACCTTTAGCAAAGATTTCTGAAAACTTTAAATGGCACAAATGTAGGAAACGTTTGAAATTTCCATGAAGTCTATGACGAACATTGTAGCAATTTATCCTTTTATAGACAAGTTTACTGTTTTGTTCTCTCGAGATGGGGTTGAGTTATAGGCAAAGGTCCCTTCTTGAGAAAACGTTAAACCATTACTGTCGTCCAGCCTCGCCAAAGACACGGTATTTGTAGGTAATAAACCGTCTTCTTCCCTTTCGTTGACGCGGTCGTTGAAATTATGAAATGCCTATTTGGCACTCCCCTCGAAACATCAACCGGTACACCTTCTTTACGAGTTGGTTAATTTATCTTTGATATCGCTTGCTCGTTTCCTTTGCCGGAGGTCCCGCGCGGAAACATCCTTGAAACGTGGTCGAAGCAAACGGAAGAGACGTTTCAATTTTCATTTTACATTCTGCCTTTTTGTCGCGTCCATCTGCAGTCGATGGAGTCTCTATTTAATAATCGTTCTTTCGTTCTCTTTTGAAAGCGATTGGAAAAATTATTACGATTCTGCTTCTGTTTTAAATTGAGGATTTAACACTAGAACTACCAAAGCAGTCAAAATAACCTATTCACAATTTTCAATAAAATTTGTAAAACATTTACTCGAATGAATTTCTGAAAATTTACCACAATTTTCTACAAAAGAATGAATAAACAGTTATTTCCATTGCATTATAGATTTCTTCGCGTATCTATCGTTTTAATTTCTTTGGTACAAATAAATACACTATAATTGTCGGTAGTTCTAGTGTTAATTACTGTTTAGGATTTATCCAAACTGATATTTACATATTTATAGTGTGCTACGCTCCACTTTCGAATCTTGTTTTTGATCATCGTTTCGATCATTTTAGAAAATATGTATTTGGAAAAAAGTATTTAAAACGCTCAATAATATTCTTTGTTATACAGTTTCATTTCTAGGAGACAAATGTAATGCGTCTGGTTATCGAACTTATTATTTAGTCGATGCTAATCAGAGAGGAAAATTATTACTGTCAAGTTTAAATGATTCATTCGGTGGGAAGGGAGGTGCGAATACTAGTGATTAATTTAACACATTCGCTGCCGTGCGTCATACATGTATTATGACTCGCATTTCTCGCGACAGACCGCCATTCATGCACGGTGGCGATGATTTTCTACTTTATGCCTGTATAAACGTATTAAGTGTGAACTGTAGATCAGTGTCACTTACGCATGACACGTTATTTAGAATATTTGGTTAGCCTGATTAATATGTGTTATTCGTACATAATTAAAACGACTACGAATATAACATAATAAATTAAAAAATATATAATGATAAAAATTAGAATTTTTTAAAATAAAAAATTCTTTAAATAATAATTTTATAGCATCATTAATTGGTTGTAAGAAACTTATAAATCCTGATTTATTTGGACCTTTTCGATCTTGTTAATTTTCTTCTACTAATATAGTGTACAGCCAAGAAAACTATATATTATATTCGCCTATGTAGTTGATAATATTTGTAATGTGAAAGGTGAATTATTGACCGTGGCAGGTCGTATCGTGCGTATATCGTTCGGTTTTATTTTTGATTCGCGTGCATCATACCGTTTCTTAATTTCGTTTTCATTCTGTTGCAGTCCAAGCAGTACAGCGCTGGGTTCGCTGGATCAGCTGAAGGAGTACCTGACGACAGTGGGAACCTGTAAATGCGGTCTCGAGTGCCCGCTAAAACCTGAACAGGTCTTCAACTTCGACCCCAAGGTATGCTCGCTCAGTCATTTTTATCCAGGCGTAGTCACGACGGTTTCATGTATTTCGCGTCTGTTAAATTGCCGCAATTATTACGATACGAGCATACACGACTGCTCTTAGATATTATGAACGGTACTATATTCTCTGGAAATTACGTTCGCAAAAGAGACAAGACGCATTATTTCAGCGAAGAGCAAAATAAATATATTCGTGGATCCTATTAATAAGTAACGATTGGCCATATTTTCTATTTACTCAGAGAATGCCTTCTTTCTTATCATAATTTTAAATTCAAAGAACGGAAAGGGATACAATTTAGGCCCATTAACGATTTCGATATTAACCAAATAGTATATAAATTAATAAGTAAATTAATTTTCACGCTCGACTAGTTTACTCAACAGAGTGACGTATTAAGTAGATAAGGTAAATAAGTGGCCATTGAAAAAGGCGCGGTCGCTAATGGGTATCGTTTACCTTACGATATAAACAATAATAAAATTTCAATTTATTATCGAGTTCGACGATAATGAAATAATATATAAATTAGTAGGAAAAGTTAATTTTCGTTCTTGGAAGGGTTTCGACTCGTTTATTTATTTCGTTCGATAGAGAATGAAAGAGGCACGGTCGCTAATGGGTGTCGTTTACTTTACGATCCACCCTCCAGATACAAGCCCGTGAGTTTATCTGCGTGGAAACAATATTCCGTTGCGAGAATCGATATCCTATAATAGCGTATAGATGCACGCGAGGAAACAATCGCGATTTAAAGCATCCCATGGCGAAGACACACGATTTAAATAAATCTCCCGCATAGCTCGGCGACAAGAAGTCTGAATCCAAGAAACTGAGCCTCGTAAAAACCGCCCGGCGCGTACGTCGAAGCCCGTCGCGAGTAAATCGTAGGCCGTGTAGCAAAACGACGAGCGGTGTTCCTGTCGTAATCTGGCCGGAGAAATCTCCGTTGCCGGCGTTCCTCGTGCAATGAGTCAATACTCTATGTAGCACGAGCGATGATGCTGAGAAATACGCGCGCATGCAACGCTCGAGCCCGGAGAAACGTGCACGCCCGGGGACGACGAAGTACCACGGGAGAATCGCGAGCTCGGAAAGCGTTTTGCATTTTTTCCCGCCCCGGAAAATCCCACGACACTTTGCTCGACGGCGAAAGTTCGCGGGACGATGCCCCGTGAATAGGAAATTGGGACACTTTGCAAAAATTATTACGATTATTTTCTGTTGCGATCACTTGGTACTCAAATTATTGTACGTGTGCGATATTTGCTTCTTCTAGACGGAACGTGCTTCGAAAAGTTGTGGAAGAAAATGTTTCTATAGAGCTCTTTCACCTTAATTTTTCTTGTAAACTACATGTATAAAAAAATGTTTCGAACGAAAGTTGTTTGCTATGAAGAGGAGTTTTCCTTTTTTGTCAAAATGTGAAGAATTCCTTGTGCTTTTTTAACTATGATGTGCAACACTTAATTATACCATTCGAAAGTTTTTTGAATGTAGAATAAAAAATTATTAATATCATGGTAATAACCTAAAATGCTCTAGCTATTGTAGAACCATTACTAGCTGTTAATATAAAAAAAAAACTATTTTGTAAATAGAAGTAACTCACAGTGCAATAAGCAAAATCTGGTAAAAATAAAAAAGGAATGAGAAAGTTTCTTTCCATTTATAGTGAATTACCATTAATAGTGTACGAATATAAATAGGGAGTTAATTATCTAAAATTTGTAGAGGAAAATTTATAGGATTAGCGAGGGTGGTGTCGTAGTCTTCATAGATAGACAGATAAATCGGGCCAATAATAGTCGCTAATAACCCCTGTTGTTGATGCGACTCTAAACTCGTGAAAGAAAAAAATTCCCCAATAACCTAAAATAACTCCAGCTATTCTAGAACCCAATTAGTACGTAAGTTCCCGGTGTACGACTGTATTAGACTCCGAAGAGATTCGCATTCCGGTTGCCCCAGCAAACGTTCCACCATGAAACGCGTTGGCCTTATATGGAACTGGCGAAGCGACGCGCGGACTTACGGAGTCCACGGGTTCAGATCCGCCCAAGAAGATCTTCATTCCGATCGTTCGGATGAGTCCGTTGATGCGGATCTAACGATCGTCAAGAACGGACTCGATGGCATAAGCGAAACTAGAGGTCGGGATGAAACACCGAACACGAATACGAATATGGACACGGGCACGAACACGAACACGAGCGTCAACAAACGATTACTCCTTGGCCAGTTAACCGGTTAACCGTGCGTAATTATCATTGGCGCTGCAATAAGCCCGTAGGAGCTATGCGCGTAGGCATTAACAACGTTAATTTGGACGGGGGACGGTGCGCGGCGGGGCATCGGTTGGGCAAATTAAAAATTCACGAAACTGCCGGACGAGAGAGGGCCAGAAGGAGAGGCCGCGCCCCGAGTACGGGGCGAACACGCTCATCAGTTTTGCTTAATTATTCCGGTAGCATGCGACGATACAGGAGGAAAACGTATAATTATCCGTGCACCTGCTCGCTAAACCGCTCACTCAGCCGCTGCTTACCATCTCGCGCGGTTCTATCCACGGGTCGCGTTAATGCGATCCTTAATTAAACTTTATCATCCGGCGTCGGTCTACGGGAAATTCATAGTAGCATCGATTCGGCCCGTGTCGACGACACGCAACGATCGACGCCGCTAATAATTAATAATCGTTCGCGTATCTGCGCCGCGGCGGTGTACTTACAATATAATCTCCGAACGGGGGGGCTTATCGCTCCATCGACCAATTAACGCGGCCTCGCGACGATTTCGGCCGATGCGTGAGCCGAATTATCGATCGTCGCGGATTAACGAGCTAACGATTAACGGGGGCCGATTGTTACGCGTGTGCACGTTCCCGCCAATAAAGATCCTCTTCGTCCTAAATTTCTATGGTGTTCACGGTACGCTGTCACGGCAACCTCGTGATCTGCGATGGCTTTGAACGAACCTGCACCTGGATTTACCTGTCTCTTGCAAATTGCTAAAAAGGTACAGTAATGACTCTTAAAATAAACCCCCAGACCTATCCTTCGATTCGTTTCAAATATTGTGGAGATAATCTTGATGTCTTATAGTAGTTGCTGTAGTGATTCTTAAAATGAACTCCCAGACCTATCTTTCGATTCGTTTTAAATATTGTGGAGATAATCTTGATGTCTTATAGTGGTTGCAGTAGTGATTCTTAAAATGAACTCCCTGTGATTCGTAAGTTGAACGTTTTTATCTCTTCTAATAATTATTACTGTAATCGACAGTAGGTTTCAGATTCCAAACTTGACGTTACAGAATTCATAAATATTATTTGTTTTTATTGGTATAATGATATAAATATACATCTAAATTAACGGATTGCAATGAAAATATCTACACTGAGGGTCCCCGTAAATCTAGCGTTAAACAATCGCTGCAAACTAGAAAATATCAACCCTCAGCTCTCAACAATGCTTTTGTTGCATTAGTCATGTGCAAGACGCCAGAATATTTAATCACATTTAATCAGTGTATATTTCTATGCTTAAAAATAATTTGTATAATTATCGAGGGTATCTTCGCACAGTCATATAACATAATAAACAAATAAAAATGAATCCGAAATTTTGTACGTGTCCCCACAGAGTCTGCAAATAAAAATAAAGCTTGAATAATGAAAATAATAATTTCGAACGAAGAATTTTGGGAGAAAAGAAACCTCGTAAAAAGCACGATTACTCTAAAGCTCGAAAAAATTAACATTCCAGAATAAATTGGGTACGCTTACGGGGTGGCAATTACGCGGTTCTCGAGATATAATTAGAGAAAAGGACGACGACGTTCGATCATCTTTGGCCATTACTCACGCTCGTTCGCGAGAAACCGTCATCGACGTTATAATTTCTGTGGTATATGCGGAACCGTCGGTACCGCGAGACGAATTCTCGTCGCGTAACCAAGACGTTTTCTTCGCTTCTGGCAGCAAGCCGACCAGATTGTATCAGTCTCGAATCTGCAATGCAAACTCTCTATCTAGCCGCGGACAATGAGCCTGCCAGTCTGGACATCGCCCCGATTTGAAGAAGAAAAACAGATGGCGGAAGAAGAATGAGAGAACCCACGGGTATGTGGAGTGAAATCGGCAGCCACTGGAAAACGACTTCTTGGCTACGTCTCGAGTGTCTCGGACGCTTTTGAATAACGTTCGGGCTGAAATATGAGGCTGGGAGTGCATTACGAGATTACCATAAGCGTGGCAAGAATCGTTCATTTCGTCGAGATGCCGGCTGTTTATCGTCGTACGATGATATACGAGGAATTTAATTGAATTGTTGGTACCCGATAGCGCGTAGGATGCAACGGGCGTCGCGAGAATTGATGTTCGAAATATCGTATAATGTTCAACGCTTTGCTCTTCTGCCTTTTTATCATTTTTTTTTTTTTTTTATTTCTTTTTTCTTCAAATCTAAATACATTCTGGGATGAGTATATTCTTGTATATTCTGTTAGGATCGTTACCGTTGAGTATATAAATAATTACAAGTAACGTTCTATGGCTTGAAGGATGCACCCAGCATCGAACACGGTCTCTATTTTCCTCGAGGAGCAAGCGAAGTTCAAGAATTCGAGTAAAATTCCGTCGAAGAAATTCCAAGACGCTGAGATATTTCTGTTCGACTAGAGTCGATAGGATTCCACAGTCGGAATAGATATACTTAAATGGGGCGGAGGGGTGGATAACTACGCGACAACTAACGAGGCAGAAACCGCGCCAATTAACGAGACATTACTGTTCCGCGTCTGCGACTCCCAGTTTACCTGTGTCAGAAGTTGAAAATTATATTCTCGATCTTACTGCTTCAAACTTTAATTGAAATGACAATTATTTAACACGCGTAGTGCATATTTGCTTGGAAGTTCAATAACTCGAGTTTTACGATGGAGAATTCATAAAAGATTGAAAATGTTAGATTTAATAATGGATTGAGAAT